CGTCGTAGCCAGAGCTCTGTCACGCAGGCAGTCCACTGTCTCGTGGTGCGGCGACGGGCGAGTCAGCGACAAGGAGCGGGAGATCGGAGCGAGAATGAGAGTGAAAGACGGAGTTGAAGAAGTGGAACGACTTGAACCACGGGTGAAGTCGCTCGAGTTCAATCTCCGCTTGAATTCAGTTCGCGTCAGACACGTCCTGTCCTTGAATTTCTCTAAGTCCCACAAACAGATAGTGGGGACTTGTGTAGCACTCCTTACGCCGTAGTACTACATCTGTTCTGGTTGCTCTAATCAATATTATTAATACCTAAAATACTTCGAGGCCTCAAGTCATCCTGTAGTCCAAAGTACAGCCTTTATATGCAGCGCAAGGTATCATCTCTACCTGAGGTTACGAGCTAATGTCCAGTAAAGCCCAAAGAGGATGTCAACTCGGTATCAGGGCGGTCTTGCTCAGATGTCCCTCGCTAAGTCTCAAGAAGACGCCGCTCTGACCTCAGCGCTGACATCTCAAATGATGGCGCACACATCTCTGGGCAGAAATGCCGAAACAAGGTCACGTCGGGGTCTACCGGGCCTTCCGAAGCAAGGTCGACGCGAGACCTCGGCTGCGACCTCACGAGAACCTTACGACGCATTGGGCGTGTACTGTACGTATGCATGCGTGGATGGTCAAATAAGATGCTGGGTATAGACAATGATACAGGGTGGCGCTGCGGCTTCTAGGCTGGTGTATGTATCGCGCGCGGGTCCGAAGAGTCCGGGTGTCACAAAAGTACAAGATGCAAGATGCAAGATATCAGATGCGGTATGCGGTATGTTAGGTAGCGCAGCGAGTCCGTGATCAGCAGAACATGTACACTGAAGCGAAAGCGACTACTAAAGCTAGGGCGTAAAGCATGGAAGGGGACGCAGTCCGTGGTGCGGCGCTTGTGCTGCTGCTGGAAGAGGGGCTGGTGGAATTGGTGGCGCTGGGGCGGATGGAGGTGCTCATCGACTGGGAAGAGGAAGTGGAAGAGGATCGCGAGCTGGGTATCGTGGACGTCGAGCTGCTGCTAGGGCGGGAGGTCGACACGGTGATGGTCCCGATGGTCGTTGTGGAAGTGATCGAGGGCGGTGAGGCGCTCGATACGGAAGAGGGGACGGGTAAGGAGGAGGTAAGGGAGGCGATTTGGGTGGGCGAGGAGCCGGACATGCCGTCGAGCCTGGAGGGACATTAGCTGAGAATGTGGATACGGAGTGGTGAGAGGTACCGGAAGTTGGGAGAGTACTGGATGTACGGCGTTGAAGAGTTGTCCTCGGTAAGGCTCGTGGACGCAAATCGGACATAGCTAACGTGGGTCAAGATCACATGCCACGAACCGGACGAGCCAAAACACTCACTAGTCATCGCCGTTAGGTCCAACCGCAGGATCCGGCTTGAAATAAAAGTTCATAGAGGTCCTTGGAAGGCACGCAAACATGACTCACAGTAAATTGGAGAGAGTGAGCGGATCCGACATTCACGGGCTCGATCTGCTGGAGCAATTCCTAAGGAAGCGAGGTTAAAGGTGAGAATTACATTGCCACAATGTAAAGGCTGCGTACGTCAGTTCCGGTGTATAGCCCAACCGTACATGCTCCTATGCTGGACAGCAGAGGCTCCTCGCCATTATCCAGCCAGGTAACGGTGCAAGGCTGCCCTCCATGACAGGTCGAACCAGCCGCCGGTGACACGACCTAGTACACCCGATCAGGAACTCAACCAAGCTCTGCGACGTTCAGCTCACATATAAAGCGGCTTTGACAAAGTTTAGTGTGCTCAGCACGATGAACACGACCATATGGTACATGTTGAACATGGAATGTCGGGGCATCGAGCGGCTTGGTTGAGTGAGTTTCTTGGGAAGTGTTGGGGTGAAAAGGAGCGACAGGTCGGAAAGATGAGAAAAGATGAAATCAGCGCAGCAGAAACAGCATGTATCCCCGAAGTGTGAAGGCAGAAGGTACAAGGTAGCATAGTCTCCAGTCTACCATCTCGGCTTTCGCCGACCCGCATCAACGTACTAGTAACTCCGATCGCGCGATGAACTTCAAGTTATCGACTGAGAGCAACTCAGCTGGCATCATGAGGTTGTCGAGCTCTGACCTCGACGGTTGCAGTTCGCAGTTGTTCGTTAAGAATATTTGCTACCGTCCGGTATTGCCAAAGGCGTAGCACGGACAGTTCCGACTTCTGATCAACATGTATACGTAAGTTTATCCAAACCTATACGTCCATGTTGATATTATCCTGGAGCGTCAAGCATCGTGGTGAGTCGTCGATTCTGCTCGATCGTATTCATGAACATATAGTGATAGTAGTAGAAGAAATAGTATTTCATATACACGATGACTCGGGCTGGTCATGTCGTCGATACACCGTGCCATTCCTCTCGTAGTGCAATCGCCCTTGCTGCTTTCGGTTCGGACATTCCTCTGATGTTTACCAGCCCTTTTGCAGCAGCTCGTTCCACGTATCTTTGGAACTTCCCGCCAGCCGGAGGCTGCCTAGGCTTGACCCAAACATTCTTGTTGACGCTAGCCCACCCAACTTCTGGCCTACCGGCGCGACGCTTCTCTTCTAAGAACATCACCAGCGGTCTGTATTCCAAGGGCACTGACGACAGCTTGATGGGTGGTACCGACATTGGAATATCAGACGGCGGTCTGTATCCGAGAGGGAGCTCTGCGAGATCCTCTAGCCCCTCACTCCACACTATGGAATGCTTCGAAGGCGGCGAAGCCACTGAAGACAGAGCCGATGTTGGATGAGATGATGCCGAGTCTTCAGTAGTGACCTGAGTATTCGCTGTACCCTGTGTCAGCTTGTCTTTAGGTGCCTCAAGTTTTTCGGGACCCGTGTTCGCAGTAGCGGCTTGATCGGATCTGTAGGCGGAAGACGAAGGCTCGTCTTCAGGCAACCTTAGACCGCGCCATTTTGCTCCGAGCTCAAACCATTGACCTTTCTTCCCATTCATCTCCGAGCGGGTCACGAAACCAAGTTGGATGGCTCTTGCGATGTACTGCTTAATTGTTTTACCGGCAGCAATCTGAGGGTTCCGCCTGAATACCCTTTCGTTGATCGTGCAACGTCGTACTTGCGGAACACCCATCCGACATCTTTTCTCCAAGTACACGACTAGCACCCTGAATTCCAAGGGCACCGAGGGCAGGCTATTGTGAGGGGTAGTCGTCGAGTTAGAGGACGAAGAGGGCACAGGGGCAGGTCGCAACTCGCCAGGAAGATCTTCGAGATCCACTATACCATCGACCCACACTATCGGCGAAGTCGTCCGGGAACCTGACTTTCCAGACACTGGGGGAGATGACGTCGGATTTCTGCTTGCATCCTGACTGATCCGCTCCACACCTGTCGACATCTCTGTGGGAGTGTTGCATTTCTTGTGTTCTATGGACTGGGTCGAAGCAACGCGATCGAGAAGCGTATCGGCAGAAGACGGATATGGTCCTGAGGAGCCGTGTCTGTCTTGATGAGCCGACTCTGGCTTGGCATATCCTGCTTCGACAGCAGAGGATAACCGTTGAACACTATCTTGGCTAGGAGGCGAGTCGAGAGTTACTGTAGGTGGCACGTTCACTTCCGGAAGATCGGATACAGACCAATGGATACTTTTTGAACTGGATCTGTTCGTAACCTCGCTAGGTTTGTTTCCAGTCGTGGAGTTATTCTCTGCAGAGGCCGATTCCTCCTGTAGGGAAGATATATCAGGCAGTAAAGGATCAGGAGGAATGGAAAATCTTACCCGCCTGTCCTCGTAGATCATCGAAGACGTTGCGGTCTGGTAAGAGTCCGAGGATGCATCACTCAATGCAGTCTCGGACTTCGCTGGGGACCCAGGCATGGTAGGATGGTTCGATTGCGGAAGTGTAGCAGCGTCGCTGTTGTCTTGTGTTCTGCCCGCAGTCGATGAGTTTGTGATATAGTCCTGCTCTAGGCTCGGTGGGATCGATACAGGTGATCTATCTCCCATGGGTGTAACGATTGCCTGGGGAGAGCCAAGGGTCCTGGTGTCTAGGATAGGTCCCGACTCTTGTTCAGTGTCAGTGATGGCGCTTGCCACTTTAGAGAACACCGGTACGCCTGCAGCCTTGCTATTGCAGGCTTTGTCGTCTGTAACCCGCACCCCTGAACTTGGACAGGCCCCGTGAGGGCATGATACCGCGCCGTCTGGGAAGCTCCTCAAGGCTATATACTTTTCCTTGTGTTTATTCTTTTTCGTGCCTTTCTTGTATACGATAATGTCGACGAACCCAGCCTCGCTGCGATCCTTGACGTACCGTCCAAACTGACCGCCGATCTGCTCCCGTATGACGCCGGTCCAGAACGACTTGGTAGCCTCGTCCCAGCTTACTTTCACGATCCCGCTTTCACGCTTGTGCTTCAGATATTCCACCAATGGCAGATACCGTGAATGTATGAATGACTTTTCTATTCTGACAGGCTCTCCGAGGTGAAGGTCGACATCCGGATAGGACCATTGGCCATTTGAATCTGTGGCGTTGAAAGATTCGGACATATTACCCGAGAATATCCCGTGCCATTCACCTCGCAGCGATATGTATTTCTTTCTCTCCTTCACGTGTCGGTTTCCCGGATCAACCTTGAATGAGCGAGCAACAATCCCAACTTGATGGCACTCTTCAATATACAGTTTGAGACGACCGTCAGTTGCAACTCGGCTTCTCATGGCACCTGTCCAGAACTCCTCGGCGATTTGTGGAAAACATATCTCCTGGGCGCCGCTCAGACGCTTCCTCTCCAGATACGCAACTAGGGGCCTGTAGCGGGGCGCGATCGAAGACCAGCTTTTCGTAACACTGCCAGGTTGAGGAGAGGGAGCTCCTCCACCTAGCTCGATTCCTTCACCTTCGTTATGTTCCTGCTTCTCCTTGGAAGTTGTTGCTTTATGCGAAGCCGTAGAGGGCCCATCGCAACTTGGCGTTCTAGCTTCCCCTGATCCACCAACGTTGCTGTTCAGAGAGACTGCCGATTTTATATCTGTAGACAGTGAGAGTGAGTCCGCGGCACGAGTCTGCTCCTCAGTGGATGGGCGGGGAGCAGCAGGATCAATTACTCCGTCAAGGAGCATTGAAGGAGGATGGTTGTCGGAAAGCATGGTAATAGCCACGCGAGGGAAGAAATCGCCCTGACATGGTTCAGGGGACAATCCATGCGCAACAACATTAAAATCTTCAGTATTGGTAACCCCACGACCGAGATATTCTCCTATGACCGGAGATGAAGCTTCATTCTTGAAGGATTCTCGCTCGGGGTTCGGTGTAGTAGGGGCTAGAGTCTTCGTCTTCACAAGCCGCGAAGTCCGAGATAGCATGCATTCGGAAGACGACCCCGTCCTGGATAGCACACCGTGCCAGGGACCTCTCAGTTCTATAGAAGCCTTTGTCCCTTCAGCTGCATTAGAATCTTGTTCTACAGCAATGTCGATGAGCCCCGCTTCAGAGCAGCGTACGACGTAGTTTGCAAATGTTCTACAGACTTCATCTCTGATCGCTCCGTTCCAAAACAATTCTTTGGCTTGCTCCCAGGTCAGTTGCGACGTTCCGCTCATACGTCTCCTGTCCAAAAACTCCACGAAAGGCCTATAGTGCCAGTCTATGGATAAGAGGGTCGGCCCGGCGTTCGCATTGTGCAAGTGATCCAATTGGCTTCCCATCGGTCCTGGTGCCGTCAGCGCGCCGTTATTCTGCCTTCCATTCAAGGCGGTAGTCTCGGGTCCTAGCGCCGCCATTGAGGTAGAAGGCGGAGACGACTCTTGGTACAAAGAAGCAGCTTGTACTTGCGACTCCGACTTGAAAGCAGGGTCGCTTGGCTGAACGTCGTCGTCTCCTTTCAGCATAAGAATAACCGCTTCTTTGTCAAAAGCGTTGGCGGGATGCGATAACGTCTCCACCATCTCGACATCTATCGAGGAAGGGGCGTAGGTGCTTTCTGGCTCCGGGTACTCTGGGCTGCCCTCCACTGTAGTAAGGCTTAACCCATCAGACGATAGAGCATTGACAACATGATCGCGCAGCTTGTCTACAGATATAGCACCGTTTGTTCCGCTGTCCATTGCAATTGCTGGGAAATGGGGACTTACCTGTCTCTTCTACCTCGTCGGTTAACTGGAGCTTTGATGTTTCCTCGTTAACCGGTAGATCTTGAGGACCCATGGTCATTATAGCCTCATTGGATCTCTCAGCCACTACGTCAGGATGCTCGGTGGAAACGCGATCACAGTACGAGTCGGGGCGCCCCGATGCACTGCTGGATTCAAATTCATTAGACGCTTCCGTGCCTTTCGCAGCGTTCAAGGAACCACCGTGTTGTATCGACAATGAATCGGATGTATCCCTACCCAGTACATCACGTTCCCAGTCTATGATTCGGGACGCGACATGTTGGAGAGGCACTCCATGGGCATCTTTCGATATAACCACCACGTCCTGGTGGCGCATGCGAAGGACCGATATGGCATACGCAAAGTGGTGGTTGCTCGATACCAGGATGAGAGTTACAGGCGTAGAACAGTCCATAGGAAACGCCATCATATCCACTAAATTCGTGCGCATGAGTCGGGACGTATCATTAGCTTTCTGGAGGCGTAGGAGAGCGCACCGACCTAACATCATCGTTTCAATCACATTGTTCTCTCCGTCCCGCGGACAATCGACTAGTGACACCCCCGACGTCTGTAGTTCTGACCGTACCTCGACCAGGTGAGCGATGCTTCCTACATCCACGTAGGCTTGGAAAACATTGATAACGCCAAAGCGACGAGCTATGGAGCGTATTCTGCTCACAACCGAGCGACCATCTACCCAGGACGGATCTGCGACACCGAGATTCTCTAACGACTTAGACGGTCAGCATAGGACCTCGCTTGCCCAGAATCGCGACCCACGGAAATCCCAGAAGATCCCTACTCTATCCTTGCGCGTTCTGCTCATCGGACTAGCATGCAAGTCACGTCGGTAGGGCTATCGCCAGTGTTCGGTGTAAGCGCTAAAGATGAATGAGACAAACACGTTGCGGGGCACATGCCCTGAGCTTGTCGCTCGAATTGTGGGTCCCATTGCCTCGATCGGCACGGAAACCGAGATACGCCACAGGAAACTATACATGCAAGCGACTGAATATCTCACGACAGCTGGTAAACTGCGCCAAAGCTTCAGGACGACTGCATGGAGAGTTTCGAGAGTATATACGTAGGAGAGCAAAGGGAACATGTATCGACATATGATAGCTGCAAAAAAGAGCTCGAAAAGGAGCTTGCGAACGCTTACATCACCCAAGCTGAGATCTGAGACCTCCCCGGCTACTGGACGCAGTGACGCGTAGGCAAACCCGTATGCTGATCGCCTAGCATCACCATGTTCACCTAGCCTAACGGTCTGAGCAGTGATTCTTGTTGTGTCCGAACACGAGCAACCGTTAGAAAGTGGCGCCATGGAATCGACTCTGGAGAGAGACGTATCCTGTGCCGACTGCAGTGACGTTGACGATGTTCTCGTTAACCGCGCCGTTCATATACTGCCTGAACTTTCGCGTCCCGGCACGTTCATAGTTGCCCTTCTGCGGCCAAAATTCCGTTGCAAGGGTGACCCATTCAATGCTAGACTTCCCGCTCCGCCGCGCCTGCTCCAGGTACTGTACGAGAGGCCTAAACCTATCGGGTACCGATGCGCCCGGATTCCTTGCAGGTACACGCGTGGCTGTGGATACTGATGCTTGCGGCGCAACAGTCACGGGTCGAATGGGAGGCGTAACGCTAGGAGGCGATATTATCGTTGGTGGGGAAGATGAGAGCTCAGCAGCAGCAGCAGGGCTGCTGCTCGCTCGCACGAACATAGGAACACTGGGCAAGAGCGTCTTCGCAACGTTCGTGGTTGGGAATGATGGAGCTGGCGTCGATGTGGGCACGCTGGCTGGCAGTGAATTGGCAGCTCGAGCCTCCGCCGACGAAGCTTCCATACCACCAGGGGTAGCTGGCCCAGCAGCAGCAGCACCCTCGCTACTTCCGCTTTGAGTGCTACCCGCCACTTCCGCGCGAACACCGGCTGGACTAACGGGATGCTCAGGGGACAACACTACGGAGGACGTCATGATGATGGGTGACTGGGTTGCCGGGGACAGAGTGGGACTCGTAATGACGGACGACGCAGACGTTGAAGACGAAGACAAGGAGTTTTCGCTGGCGGCCGTATCTGAGCTAGCAGGCGAAGGTGGCCTGCACCCCGGTAGAAGGTGTCCATACAGCGTCCACGGCAAGATGGAATGACGAAGGCCTTGCATACCATCACTATCAGTATGCGGAGAGCCTGGGCCCGCGGTATGCTTTGCCATAGATGCTTTTTCCACCGGGTTGGCAGTTGGTACTTGCTTCAGTGACTCTTCTAATGCCTCAGGGACGCCCCGGTCAAATTTGCTCTCGACCACCGGCGGATCCGACCCCTCATCGAGATCGGCAAGAGTCCGGTATTGGCGAGCCCATAGCACAGAAGGTGCACTTGTAGCCCTAGCCAGTACGTCGCTGTCCCAGTCGAGAAGCTGGGACGCAACGCACTTGATAGATGCACTAGCGCACTTCGGTGCAATGAGAACGACATCATATCCCCGGTTCCGGAGCGTAGACAACGCGTAAGCGAAATCGCCATCTCCTGATATTAGAATGATTGTCGCAGGCGCGGGATGGTCAATTGCGAACGCGAGCATGTCGACTGCGGGAAGAGCATGGGTGCTCGTCAAGCCATCTATCATTGATCAGTATGGACATCAAGACTCACCAATGATCATCTTATCGGCTACATCCTTCCGCCCGTTGTGCGGGCAATCCACCAACGACACCCCGGACGTCTGTAGGTTGGATCGGAGGTTGCCCTTTGACGACACCAACTCGGCCAAGTCGACATACGCCCTAAAGGCGGTCACCGTGCCATACGAGTGGGCTACTGCGCGGATATTGCCCGCCAGGACGTTCCCGGAAATACTTGATGGCGCACGCACATTCTCTATGTCGATACCGTCAGATAGCCATCTGCCATAGATCAAGACGTGACATACCATAATCCCAAAAGATAGCGACGCGTTCTCCAGAAGCCATGGCAAAACGTCCTGAGGGAAGGGTGAATCTTCCACAGGAAGCGCTGGTAGACCATATATATAGTCTCAGCACGAGCTGTACGCATGCCGTGAATCCTGGCCGGAAACAGCACTTCGATGTATGCTATGCTAACAGACAGGGTTATGGGAGAATGTTATTATGGCCGACATCTGCGTTCTCGCTGTGCTGTAGCCCAGTCCTCGTGCATCTGGACCAAGCACAGGGGGTCCATTTGAGCCATGCCCACTGTGCCAATACCGTGCAAACACGCGCCCTATTGAAACTGAGAGGCACGAGACGGTACTAGTTTGATGGACCCGCTCGGCGTGCCCATTTGGAAGATATAGACGGTGGTAGAACTCGAGTAGTTCGAAAGGAATCCAGGGGTCCTTAAGTGATCATGAGTGCCAGACGGTGCGTGAGTCCAAGCCGCTGGACAAAATATGGAATTGAAAATAGATATACAGCATATCATTCATTATACGTTGAATTATCGGTTAAGTAAGGTGCTATTTGGTATTATTTGGCCTAAAGGAAAAGCGCGTCAATTAACGCGTCGCGACGCGTCTGACCACTTCATTTGCTACCCGTCCGCACGTCCACAATGTCGTCCCCACCGATGGAGTTTCCAACGTCCGAGCTCGACGATGTGAATATGGATGATAGCACGACGCTGAACAACACAGCCGAACAATCCATGGCAGACGCGCCGAACGCTCAATCTCTTTTCTTACCTGGCACGCCGTCCATTGCCGGGACACCAGCACGTTCACAAGGCGGAGGATCAGCGGTGGCGGCGCGGCGAGCATTGGGAATGAGTACACCGAAGAGGACGCCTCTTTTTGCTGGTGAGTACACCAGTTTTGGCAGTGTAGCCCGTCGCCCTGACCCGTCGTTCTCAGCCGGAGGCAGTTCATCACCTTTACCGTTCCCTAGCTCAACTCCAGCGAAGAGAACACCGAATAGAAAGAGCAACCTTACTGCGAATAGCCCCAGATCTGCCATTGATTCTGAACCACTGGATTTCCCCACGTACGTCCCGCTGTTTCCGCACTTTGCTTCACCTCATGGGTTATTAGGAGCCCGACTGTACTTGCCACTCCGCCGCGAAACCGTCGAGGTGATATCCATTCTACCCTTGCTGTAACACCTTCAAGTAGGCGCCATGTTGCAACGACGAAACGAGGCGCAGGCGACAACCTGAACTCAGACGGTACTCGATTATCCATGCCTACCTCCTCTGCACCCCAGCTCTCTGCTGTTCCACTTCCATCCGATGAACCAGATGAGATCCGAGCGATATGGGGCACGACAGTTAACCTCGGGGAGACCATGAAGCTGTTCCGCGACTTTCTGCAAGGGTTCAAACCCAAGTATCGCATCGCACACGACCGGGAGAACGGGCTGCGCACCAAACCCCTGGCCTCTCCTGATGAGGGCGAGATTCTGCTCTACGAGGTGTATCTGCGTAGGATGCGGCAGACAGGAGAGACGAACCTGAACTTGGACATGGTCAACCTGCTGGCGTATCCGCCCTCGAAAAAGTTGCATTCTCAACTAACGAAATACCCGCAGGAAGTTATCCCGGCGATGGATCAGGTGCTCAAAGATCTGATGCTGGAGGTAGCAGCTATTGACGTGGAAACGGGCGCCGAAGGTATGGTAGGCGAAGAAGGTGAGGCTGAGATCGCCGACATCATGGCGAAGATATACAAAGTGAGGCCATTTGGCTTGCCTGCCGTCAATATGCGCGACCTTAACCCCAGCGGTACGTCCACAGCCTTATAAGAATAATGTTCCATTATTGATCTCACATCTTACAATATAGACACGGACAAGCTGGTATGCATCAAAGGCCTTGTCATCCGCGCTACGCCCGTGATTCCCGACATGAAAGTCGCGTTCTTCCGCTGCCTCACCTGCTCGCACACCGTCCAGGTCGAGATCGACCGGGGCAAGATCGACGAGCCCGCGCGATGTCCACGCGAAGTCTGCGGCTCCGTCGGCACCATGTCCCTCGTGCACAACCGGTGCGAGTTCGCGGACAGGCAGGTCATCCGGCTGCAGGAGACACCCGATGCTGTCCCTGACGGGCAGACTCCTCACACCGTGTCCTTGAGCGTCTACGATGAACTCGTGGACGTATCGAAACCTGGCGATCGACTAGTTGTCAATGGTATATTCCGGAGCGTGCCCGTGCGGGTTAACGCGAGGACGCGAACTATCAAGAGTCTGTTTAAGACGTACATCGACGTGGTTCATATCAGGATCGGGAGTGAGGGCCGTCTTGGCGTAGACAAGTCCACTCGTTCCGCTATTACCGACCGTATTCCCGGTATCGGGGGTGTGGGTGGTGGAGAAGAGGAGGAGGAAGACGGCGGAACCGAGAAAATGAGGAAAGCAGAGCTAGAGGATAAGCTCAGACAACTCAGCCAGCGGCCAGATATTTATGATTATCTGGCACGATCTCTGGCACCGTCGATCTGGGCTATGGACGATGTGAAGAAGGGTATCTTGCTGATGCTGTTCGGCGGAACTAATAAGAGCATTGCACGGGGCGGAGGTGGTGGCGGCCCGAGGTATCGAGGAGATATCAACGTCTTGCTCGTTGGCGACCCGGGTACGAGTAAGTCGCAGATACTGCATGTAAGTCATCAGCTCCCCAAGTATGCCCCCGTCTAACAAGTGGGCATAGTACGTGCACGAAATCGCTCCTCGAGGAGTCTACACTTCTGGCAAGGGATCGTCGGCTGTCGGTCTAACAGCCTACGTGACTCGCGACCCAGACTCCAAGCAGCTTGTGTTGGAGAGGTACGACCGTAATGATGCGTAGTTTGCTCATGCTCATACCTCGGTTAGCGGTGCACTTGTCTTGAGTGATGGCGGTGTTTGTTGCATCGATGAATTCGACAAGATGTCGGACGCTACGCGCAGTGTCCTACATGAAGTCATGGTCAGTCATACCTAATGTGACCACGTCCGTCATGCCTGAAGTCGCTTCTAGGAACAACAAACTGTGTCCGTAGCCAAAGCGGGAATTATCACGACTTTGAACGCTCGAACATCCATACTGGCGGCCGCGAACCCAGTTGGTTCCAAGTATGACGACAAGTTACCAATCACACGGAATATCGACTTGCCGCCCACTTTAATATCACGGTTCGACTTACTGTACCTGGTCTTGGATAAGGTCGATGAAGCGACCGACCGGAAGCTTGCTCAGCATCTGGTCGCACTATACCTGGAAGACAGACCAGAAACTGGAGGGCAGGATATCCTCGTAAGTTCAAATGTCATGGCGGTGCCGCACATTGCTCATTCATGTACCATTGCAGCCCTTGGACCAACTGTCTGCGTATATTACGTATGCTCGATCCCGTATACAGCCAGTCATTACAGAAGACGCGTCGCGCGAGTTGGTACGTTCATACGTCGAAATGCGCAAAGCAGGCGAAGACCCCCGCTCCAGCGAGAAGCGAATCACTGCGACGACGCGACAACTCGAGAGCATGATTCGCCTGTCGGAGGCTCACGCACGCATGCGTTTCTCCTCGTTTGTGGAGCTGGAAGACGTGAAGGAGGCATACCGCTTGATGCGCGAGGCCCTGCGGACGTCTGCCATGGACCCGAGAACAGGCAAGATCGACTTGAGCCTTATTGACACCGGGATAGGTCAGCAACAAAGAAGGGTAAGGGGCGACATGAGGAAGGAGATCTTGAACCTGTTGGAAGGTGGTAACACGCGAGGCATTAAGTGGTCAGATGCTGTGAAGAGACTCGAGAGTCAAAGCAGCATCCGGGTCGACACACAAGAGTTTACCGCAGTGATACAGGAACTGGAGCGGGAGGGCATGGTCAAGGTAGTGGGAGAGCGGGACCGCAGAGTACTCAGGCGAATAGAAGGAGCGTAATGTGGTATATTGTCTGTGACCTAATGCAGGTGCCCTCGGTCTTGTCATGTACTCATCGATGCTGTATAACAATGTGGTCCGTTTGATACTCCGGAACTCGTCTCCTCTTCATGCTCTAGGACGTGTAAGACGGCACAATTGCCGGTCGCAATAGACCAGGATTGCAACAGCTCGCCAACAAGGCGGCGATTTGACCTGGTGCGTACACGTCAATCAAGTTCGCGTGTCGAAGCTCTATGCCGGCATCCTGTGGTCAAAACGCGGTGCCCTCGAGGCCTATCTAGGTTCCTAATCGCGAAGGACCCTCCTCCATCGACGGATTTATCGAGTGAACTACGGCTCCGGGGGATAGACACGAGCCTTTGTCAGGAATAGGAGCCGAATGGATTCACGACTCGGAGCGATGCAAGTATGAGTGAAGTAGATCAACTGACAGTACGACTCCAGTAGGAAGAGTGTTTGATCCGAGCTGAAAGGCGGCACATATGCCTTATCTACCAGCCCCATCGATCGTCCCATGTATAGAGATTTCATTTCGCCGTCGAAGGAAACTTTGAGGGCGGAACTGACAGGCGTTACCTGCTCGTGCCGCGAAGCCTCAGAACGTGCTATATAAGACCGAGCCTCATCCTAGCCCTAACGTCCTGCTGTATTCATGTCGTTATGGCAGGCGCAGACCTTGTATCCATATTCTGGGACTACGGTTCGTCAACGTTGTGCTGGTCGGTTGACATGCGTTCAAGTGAATGCCCTCAGAGAATTGTCGTCCGCCGTCTGGCATAGCGGGCAACGTTCTAGTGGACAAGATCCGAACGATTGCCCATCAATACGGCCGTGTCACTGCGTTCAAGGCCTATTTCGACCTGGCGGAGGCTGTGTCGTCCAAATCACCCAATATTCGCTCAGAGCTGCAAGCCTCGGGTGTGTCGCTGAATGACTGCCCGCATGATGGAAGAAAGGATGTCGCCGATAAGATGATCATAGGTGCGCACTGAATGACATTGCCCTAGCCAGGCTATTGAATGTGGACGTAGTGGATATGCTCGCTTTCGCGATTGACCATCCGGCGCCCGCGACAGTCATTTTAATATCTGGAGACCGCGACTTCGCATATGCTCTCTCCGTTCTGCGTCTTCGGACGTACAGGGTGGTGGTGATTACACCCCGAGCTTCAAGCGCCTCCATAAAGTACTCGGCGTCCGAGATCCTCGACTGGGATCGAGACATTGTACCGGAGTGTTCAACCGTACCCCCCACCACCTGGAGGAGACATTCTGATTCCCAGTCGAGCACAGGCAGCGATGACAGTCTTGCCGCGAAAGGCAGGGGATTTCCTCTCTCACCTATGGATAAGATCTGGCAGGAGTACAGGAGCATTGCTACATCGTCCGCAATTGAGGGCTTTGGCAGTCAAATGCGTGCTGATTCAAGCCAGGAGTCATTCGATTCAATTAGTACAGAACCCACATCCCAATCGTCGTCTTCCTCGGACTCTTCGGGTTTCTTTACGAAACTTCGAGCTTTGTCTCCGCCTCCGAAGTCAAGCCTCAAGGCCCCTGTCCTGCGCAGGGATGCTGTACCATTCAGACCCGCGCCATCAGTCCCACCTTCATCCTCGTACCACCAAGAGCGACGAGACGGGACTCTAGGACATGCCACTACGCTGGCACCAGAAACCGCATACGTGCGAGCTATTTCCTCGCCAGTCAACATCAAGTCGCCGTCTTGGACACCGATCAGCTTTGTCCGGGAGGGCGGTGCGGCGGAGAAGACACCCGGCTCCAGCTACGCAGCAGTAGCTGGGGCCGGAAAGCCTCCTGGCCAAGATACGGAGACTCCAAAGGTCTCCAAGACGGCTAGTTGGATACCTGCGAGCTCTGGGAAAGTGCCGCCCCAGTTCAAGCAACTCGTCGAAGTCCTAGAGAAAGCTCGGCAGGAGGGACAGCCAAAGCAGGTCTGGTCAATCGTTGCGGCAGGCATCCAGAACCGCAAAGAAGTGTACGAGAAAGCCGGAGCGTCGAGCTTTAGGGAGTTCGCTGAGCTTGCGGAGAAGGCTGGCGTCGTGAAATTGGGTGGTGATCCCGGGGACTGTCCCTGGATCCGTCTACGTCCGGAGTGGCACAACAAAGTGCGCGTTCGCAATTGACCAGAGGAATAGAGCAATCATCAGTATCATAAGCCTGTAGGGTACTGTTACCCGTTACAGTCGTTTCTTCGGGGAGGGGCGACGACCTTGTATTGAACCGTCGCCCCGACATGGATAGACTGTCGGATTACAGCGCACTACTCCGTCCGGTCCGAATTGAGGCGGTAATAACGCGAGCGGAGGTATATGGCGCGTTCTCGTGAATGAAGGTAGAGAGTTCTGAGTTACAAGAGAATTATACGAGAGTCACGAGCCGAGGATATATAGGTTAATTTATTATCAGTTCTTGATTTTTAGATACTTATAAGAATTATATTACGATTTAAAGAAGAAATTCAAATCATAATCATTTCCAGCCACTGGGCTCCCCTTTGATTGTGTTGACCCTCGCTGACTTATGTTGCGATTGGGTACCGTGCGGGCGTGAACCAGCACCTCTGGTGCAGCCTGCTACTACGACTTTCGCGTCTTCGCGTTCTCTGCGGCGGGCCCAAACGTCTGTGCCTATTTCAACTGTACTCGAGGAATAAGATGAGCAGACGGATGGGCAGAGCCGCCATGTTTACATGTATGGACGAAACGTGCTGAGGTTGTGGGCATACACTCTCGTAGGTCCGCTCAGTGACAGTAAGTCGACTGTTCTCGTGTCGTGTGCCTCGTTGCCTCGAGCAAGACACGGCAAGCCGCAGTAGCCAACCCTCCTCTATACCAGCTTGCGCTCCTCGTAACATCATATAACCTCAACAAGTCGGAATGAGGCGCTACCTTCGGAGTACTTTCAGTGATGGGCTTAGGTGCTCACGTCGCCGTATTCTGGGATTACAGTGAGTTCGTTGAATACCTACCGCATACATGAATATGTGGTAATTATTCGCCATGGCCTTGTCAAGCTAATGTTTCTTCTGCCGGCGCTGACGGCGTACGGGTGGTTCGCAACATCGCAGCAATAGCTCGTCGATTCGGCTCCGTCACATCGTTCAAAGCCTATGCCGACTTATCCGAATCATTGCACGCCGAAGCAATGAACTCTCGCGATAACCTGCAATTCACTGGCGTTTCCCTTGTCGATTGCCCCGGTCTCGCAAGGGGCAACCGCGGAAACAACATGATCATAGGTAAGTCCTCGGGATTGTCAGAAGACCGATAACAAATGCTTTATTCCTGTAGCCGACATGTTTGCCTATGTCTTTGATAACTTGGGACCAATCACCATTGTTGTCGTATCAGGCGACCCGTACATATCTTACGCTCTCTCTATTCTACGGCTTCGAGGACACCAAGTCGTGGTCATAGCGCCGAAAGGGTGTGGCATGCCCGTCGAGCAAACTGTTGATATGTTCATGGATTGGGAAAGCGACATATTGGCCAAGAGTCAAAAACTATCAAACAACCCATTGCACCGTACCTCCTCGGCTCTGCCAGGCCGTAATGGGGATGCAACCTTGTCTCTGGGGTCCAAGGTGCGAATCAAGCCGCCTGAGAACGAATGGGATGGTTCATGGATCCTCCGGCTGTCTTTGTTTCCCTGGGTCGTTTGTGAAGTGAAGACTTCGGATGGAACACCGAATCCTGGTCCTTCATCTGTGTCTGCAGAAGGCCACTCCAGTCCTACCGTTAATTCTGACGGTGAATCAGCTAGACCCGACCCTCCCAGCCCCGCTTTTATGCATTCGGAACTCTCATCACCGCGTTCGGTTGCCAGTATCATCTCGCAACCACAATCGCAACGATCCTTACCTTCCCCTGTCGATCATCCCCAGGAAGATGTATCTCCCATTCCTCTGGAGGACATCGCCTCTGTAGATCACGGCTCCCCGGACTCCTCCATTTGCAGCTCCCAGGGCACACCCGTACCACCGGACTATCCGCTTCCTTCGACGCTTTCTGATCCGTCAAAGCCTTCGGTGGCGCTGCAGTCATCCTTCCCTGCAGTGTTGCCGAAGCCGTCCATCCCTCCTCAGCCATCCTTTCCGACTCCACCGACATCGAATGCTGCTGGAACAACTTCACCAGCTAGTTCGACACCGACGCCGACGGTCAAGGCCGCGCAACAATTTTCTATCGTGTCAGGGCAGCAGACGCAGCCTAGCTCCCTGTCGACCCTCCCCACCATAGTAACGCGGCCATCACCTGAGGCCATATCACCAAAGGCTGTCGTAGCTTCTCTGGCAGCCAGTGCCAGCCCAAAGGTCTCGAACCCCACTCCCGCGAAGCCATCTTCTCCTGCTCCTGCACGTACCGCCCAACCCGTCAACAACACAGAGCCTGTGATGCAGGAGCAATTCAAGCCGTTAGCAAGGCATCTTGAAGCAGCTCGGCGGCGGGGAAACGGATTCGTCTCATACACGCAAGCGGAATCGAGCGTCTGGACTGACCAGGCCGTCAAGGACGCAGCAGGCGCTCGGACCTTTGACTCCTATATCCAGATGGCGGTTCAGTCTGGAGTGGTTTCGGTTATCGGCAGTGCGAAGTATCTGGCCTTACAGAAGGCGTGGCACGGGAAAGTACCTTAGGGCCTCACATATGTCGTGGCAGACTTTTTGGTCTCTTCTCTATTGCATTTCTTCATCTTGCGTCCCTTCAGCGCCGTCGAGATACGCCTAGTAAGTCGCTTCGTGATGAAGAATACCTCCACGTCCGAATCTATTTTGAGAGAGCACGCATGTTACTGGGGTCTGGCTTGTATGGTAAGTCATGACCCATTCTCCGGCGCTAGAAGGGATCCTCGGCTTTTACGTACCGTCGTATAAAGCGCATGGGTATTAAGAACATGTGGCCTTTGCCTCGTTCGCTAGCTCGTTCTGCTGAACCGCGCTGCAGGCGAGTCGTGACCATGGACGATACCGGGCGAGTGGCAATATTTTGGGGCTTCGGTAGGCTTTCAACCGATTTCCACCTTAATTGCGATGATATGAATCGAAACCAGAGGCATGTCGACCGCCATTCTTGGTCGATGGCGTTGAGCTGGTGGAGAAGATCCAACGCATCGCGCATACTTTCGGAGAGGTCACCTTGTTCAAGACCTACGTCGACTTGGCCAAGCTAGCAAGCAGTCGAGCTCCTTTGCGTTCCGAATTGCATGCATGCGGTGTATCAGTTGTCGACTGTCCTCGTACCAACCGGAAGGATGTGACGGATAAGATGATTGCAGGTGAGCGTGCCCAATACAGCTGTGCTCAACATGATGTGACGGATTCATTCTGGACAGTGGATATGATGGTCTTTGCCATGGACAATCCAGCACCTTCGACGCTGGTTCTGCTGTCGGGCGATGCAGACTTTGCATATCCAGTGTCGATTTTGCGTTTAAGGAAGTATCACGTGGTGGTTATTGCACCGTCCGCGACGGACAATAGCACTTCCATCAAGTATCGCGCATCCATCAGGCTAGGATGGGAGCGCGACGTACTGGATAAAAGTGTTACGTCGGTGTCGGTGGGACATGGCCTGGACATCGCAATTCTTCCGACGGCAAAGAGAGAGTTAGACGAGGATGGTAATCGTCCCTCGAAACGAGCTCGAGTCTTGGGTGGCTCCTGTAATCCTCACATTCCGGCATCGCCTGAGGTCGGCCTAACGACAGCAGTCCCGAGACACCTGCAACCTCCGATGCATACCGCGTCGACTAGCATGTCTTCAATGCTACGAGCTGACACTGTTGCGTCCGGTGCCCGTGCTGAGCAAGAAGGTGACGGCGGTTCCAGCGTCGCAGCTGAATTGTCGTTGGAGTCAATGACTCTAATTTCTATCGCCCAAGGTCCGGCCATTCCAGTAGACGATAACGAGGTCTCCCTCCCGGTGGAGACTGCTCACAGCGACGAAGTATGCCGAGGCAGCGTAGCCGAGAGAGCAGAGGGCGAACTGCTAAGCGGGACCTCTTTACCGGATGCGAAACAGGAAGATTCCATCGAGCCCGGTGGCCCTGCCGACGATCAACCAGAAGGGTCCACGCACCATACTTCAACCAAGGAAGCGAGGGAAGTCCCTGCCCAGTTTCACAGACTCGTCGAATTGTTGGAGAGAGCCAGAATGAATGGCGATTCAGCGCAGGGGTGGTCCATACTCGGGCGCGGTTTCGCGAAGGACCCCATAGCTAGTAAAGCTGCCCTGCAGTCTGCCGGCGTTCCTAAATTCAGGAAGTACGTGCACCTCGCGGAGAAAGCAGGCATAGTCAAAGTTATGCGCACCGATGCGCACGAGCCATCGGTTTGCCTAGCTCCAGAATGGCATGGGAAGGTCGTCATAGAGCAAGATCCGGAGGAAGTACAGAGAGCAGATTTCTTGCGTCTCTTGGAAGACTTTCTGTGACGAGCCAGCCCCTCAGTCTGTACATCCTATGTGATGAATTGCAAGCTGTACTGATTCAGCTGCGTAGCATTAGATTGTAGGATAATCTGGGTCTTACGCGAGATAATGAGGGTGAAAGGAATGAATGTAAATTTATCCATCTGCAGGTTACGATGTAGTGGATTACTCTATGAATCAAGTCAAGCGTAGGAGATCAATTAGCGCCCGAGAAGATAGCAGCTCTTCAATAAGTGAGTCCCCGCACGACCGTGGTGCTATGAACCTCTATCTTCCTCGATTGGGCGGCCATCGGGAACGACATCCTTAAATATCCACTCGGAAGTACACCTCTGTCTATCCCAGAGGGACCCATCGAAATGCCCCTGCGAGAGACTTGCTTTGAGATTGAAGAAGTCTCTCGCCGTCCACGTCTTGATGGGCCCAAGGCAATTCGGGACTTGCACGGTAATCAATTCAATGGGCGTATCTCGAACGATGGACCGCAGATCCCGCTCCGCAAGCGATATGATTTCACTAGCCAACACCACCACGAGGCATTTTAGGCGTGAGCCTTGCTGTTCGACAAGATCCATGAACGCTGGTCGGGTATAGGCCGTCCAGACGTCCGGCCATGGTAATATAACGGTTGTGGCAATGTGAGTGAGATCGGGGTAGTGCGCCGGCTCGAACCTGACCAGGTAGTCAGGATCGTCGTGGATGAGGTGGCTGAGATGCTTTTGCGACAGAGCCGCATGCGGCATGCTGTGGTTCCGGCATAAGAGCGAACGGAGATCCAGCCGGCCATATGGGTATTCGAAGAAACGGTCCGAGTTGCACAGGATGTGCAGGTTCTCCAATTTGTCGGTGATGTTGGAGAACAGGTCTATGAGTTGTCGGCGGACCCAAGCTCCATTGTAGCTACCGTCGTCTATCAAGTCGATGATGAGACTCTTCATGAGGGCAGCCAATGGCGGGTTGCCCTTCAAGGTGCGGTTAAGCATACAAAGGGTATCGAAGTTCTTCACCTGCGTGCTTTGGATAAGAATCAGGGTCCAGAGAGGTTATTCGGCAACTTACGGTTACTTTTCCGTATATATGTTTAATCGCTTGCTGGTACGTGTGCTTGCACACGGTAGCCAGACTAATCGCCGCGTCGTTGCGAGCGTCGAGCTCCATTGCCCAGTCGAAGATGTCATCTACTAATTCTACTGGCACTGCTGGGAACGCTCCAGCAGCTACTTCACCTGAATAGGGATAGGTCAGCTTGTGCTGGTCTAATACGTCCGGACGGACAGTGCATGGGACGAGGATTGTAACAGAGTATCATGGAGTAGGAATAACATACCCATGGTTAACCCAACAGTTCGCAACCGTGTATTTTGCGTAGAAGTGAGGGGAAACGGTTAGCTCGATACCGGCGGTCGCTTTTAAAGATATGATTTCTCGGGGTAGTGCATGATGTCGGAGCCCCGGGTGGTCATGGTCAACAACCCCCTATCGCGTCCGGCGTTTGCTCGGACAGCAATATCTAATCACCAGCTGAGACCTGACGATCGACCACAACAGGGAGGTAGTTTAAGAGGAACTTTTAACCGGATTCAATTCTATTCAATTGAAACTGAAGGGGGTCCGTTTCAACCTATCTTCCCACGGTGCCGACGGCTAGCGCAAAGGGAGCCGTTCAGTGTTCTAGAATACATAGAATTACATCGGGAGAGCTGCAAGAGACAAAGAAACTGCTACGGTCCAACAGCACGACTGATGCTGTAGAAGTGAGTACTTCCCCAGTCGTCACTTACTGTCCTTGGCCTGCCGGACCTCCACCTCGGTCATGACCTTTCCCTGTAGCCTCTCGACAACCTCGTCGCCGAGCTCCTTCACGCGCTCCTCGTCCAGACCGATCAGCGAGACGTACACCCCTCTTTGCAGGAGCGGGTACGACCCCACCCGCACGCCCTCGTTCTTGACGCGCTTTTGGAGATCGGTGAGGTATGGAGCAATGGAGGATTCGGGGAGGCTGTTGGTGAAGAATAAGTGTCAGCGCGTGTGGGACAGGGCTGAGGGCTGTGACGTACTTAGTGAAGACTTGAAGGCGGAAGGGGCGCTCGTTGGGGGGCGGGAGGGGTAGGAAGGGGACCAGGTGGTCCAGTAATCGCTGGAATAAACCTGGGATACCCGGGAAGATGCAGAGTTTGCCCTCAAGGCGGACGACGGGCTGTAATGTCCGGTTATAGCGTGGAAACTCGCCTCCGTATAAATGGACAGCAGATACTTACCACCCATAAATCTTTCGCGACAAAGAGAACTTCCGCTTTGTCGGGGAAGAGCGCCATTCTTTCCCTTGCCGTTCTCTGCTCCTCGGTCTGTTGGGAGATCCAAGGCCGGTTCTTGCTCATCTCCATCATGCGACGTAAAGTCTCCTGGTGGTGGACGAGCCCTTGGTTGAATGACTTCGCAAGGGAGGCGTAAGTAATGTCTACGAGCGGTAATCGATATTAAGATATCGCATGTCTCTAAGTTAATATTGGCGTACCGTCGTGTGTCGGCCCAATACCACCGGAAGTAATGACGAAGTCGTACTTCTGCACCATGCGACGGCTCGCCTCGACACTGACCCGCCTCCGGTGTGAAGACAGCTACCAACTTCAACGGAGTTGAACTCACATGTCGTCTTCCTCATCCGGAACGACTTCAATCCGTTTTCTGTCTCAAGACAGTGTTAACTGCGAACAAGCTGTGAGGAGTAGATACGGCAGATGTGCCGGGGACGCGGCAACTGCTGCACTTCAATTACCAGCGCGAGGTCAAGTCACTCCACCCGGGATGGTAGGAGAGACCTGAGCTAGCAGATTCCAAACCAGCTTACGGTCGGTAGCAGTCGTGCGCAGGGCGCCCGACAACCTGCAGTGAGAAGTTCGCAGATGCTGGACTCACAACTCGATACCATTTTCGAAGCAAAACCGGGCAAAGTAGTTGGAATTCCTATCCAGGGTCTTCCCGTTCAAGATCTCGTCTCTACCAAGTAGGAGTTGACCAGCATTAGACATGCCGCGTCGATGAGAGGTCATTGAAACGCCCGGAAGCCAACGACTGACCCGATGATCAAGCAACCAGCAGTCTTTATGTACTTCCCCTCTCCCAAGGGATTCTTGGGCACCGGCGTAACTTCGAAGTTCCACTCCTCGGTGGCAGGTTGCGACGACCCAGCGGTCGCCATTGTCTGCGGTTTGTCCGGCGTCGTAGACATTGTTCTGGAAGCTGTCACCGCAAGTCGGCCAGTGAACGCGGTCCGGCAAGGAATGTGGTGACTAAGAGTCAGACACAGAAGACGCGATGCCGCGCGATAGCTCATGGGTCCCGGTCGCCGGAATATTATATTCACGAGCAACCCACTTTATAATGGAATTTCGTCGGAAATAGCGAGAGCGACTGCCTTGGAATAGCAATGCCCTGTGGACTCGTGGTATTGCGGTGGTCATGAGCGAGCGGACGAGAGCCACAGCCTCGCCACACGGTCACGTTTCCGAGACGCGTCCTTTAACGGCCACACTTTTCAATTTCCACTACCGCGACTGCGCTGTAGAATGGCCAGTGTATCCGACCTCGACAATCTCAATCAAGTAAGCTTTTACGTGACAGGGATAGACGGCCTCAGTTTACGCGAATTTCAGACGGTGATCTGCATACCATACGCTGGGTCGGGTAAGCAGGTGGTCCACTTCACGTAGCCCAGGCTAACTCATCGTTTGGCAGACGATGAGAACGAGGAACACCCATCGCCCGAAATAAAGCACTATCCGCATCAGTCTCGAGACCTGCCAGATGGGTTCAAGCTGAGGATGGATGTATACCGCGCGGCGTGGAAGGATTGCTTGGCTCGGGTCCAGGTGAGTTTGCAACAGGTATCTCGGACGTGCCTGTATCCAATTGACATGTGCGGATTGTACTTAGTCTATTATAGAGGAGCTGCATTCACCCCGACTACAAGAAATCACCGAGCAAGTTCATTCCGCGCATTTACCATCCCGAACTCTCTCCAACCTACCACATCCCGAAATCCCCACATTCTGCGTCCATGGTGAGCACTACCTTTCCAAAACTATGTTCATCTACCAAAGTCCACCTCCCTCAGGCCCTCTGACATATCTGGATGATGTGACAACTAAGGTGCTCGAACCTCCAAATGTATCAGGATGCCATCTCTACCCGTCCGACTGTACGAATATCACAGCAGCGATGAAATCATTGGTTTCGACATTTACTCAGAGAGACGTTGCAGAAGGTGTGTCAGCCCCCATCTGTCTCTTTCTTTCCTTGCCAACTCACGCGTCCAGGGAGCTCGAGGAAATGGCCATCGGCATCACTAGCATCGTACGACATCCACACGCTTGTTTCCTGGTACGAGCATCTTGAGGGTACGCATCTTTATTCTTCAACAGCGGCAAGGGATACCATTTCCACCTATCTTAACCCCAAGTTTCACAGAAGATGAATGTTCGCAACTCATTGTCATATTTCACCAGTTTGAGCAGTTCGAGTCATCAGTACTGGAGGATTTCTTCTATATCTGCAGGTATCCTTCGACCCTCCGCTATAAATGACATTACTATTACTGATACGACATCTGTATCCAGCCTGGTAGTCTCGAAGTTGCCATTTGTCTTCATATTTTCCATGTCCTCCCCGCCGACACCATCCTATCTACATGCGACGTATTCTCGAGATGCCCTCACGCTACTGCGGGTGAAGACCATGGTCGCGCCGCAAGGGTGGTCGCTTGTGAAAGCGGTTCTAGAGCAGGTCCGTTCAATGTGGTCCTTGCCTGGTACCAAGATTAACAAGGCAGGTCTTGCCACACAGACATTCTTTGCTCTTGACTTTGAGCCCGATATCATGATCGGACCTCCCGTCCTAGAATACATCTTGGACTACTTCAAGCGGTATAATTCGTCCAACGACGCAATTCTGACCATCTTGCAAGTACGTCTTTCCCCCATTTGGTACAGACGGCGGTCTCCTGATCCCGTCATAGCTAACCTTCATGAAACACTTTGATGAGCCGCTGACGATACTCGCTCGCGACTCCTTCCTGAGCACCGAATCCCTCGCGGAAGCAGACGCAAAACTATCCGAACCCCCATCTTTCCCCTTCCTTGACTCCCTCCTCTCGCGCGTCGCGCTTCCCCCGTTATCCAGCGGGTCCCTCGATGTCGACGTGTCCGACCACGAAAGCGACTGGCCGGACCGGAGTATCGCCACCCTGCTCGAGTCTGTCGACGCAGCGCGCGCGCGCTTCAGGGCACGCTCGAGAGGGGTTAAGATCGGGTATCGGCTCCTGAACCTCGTCAAGGGCGTCTTGGCGGAGATGGGCTACCGCGTGGACGGCAAGAAGGGGAAGGCGGACGCGGAGGGGGAGGATATTGAGTTCATGGGCAGGGCTCTTCGAGGGCGGCTTGCTAGGGAGAATAAAAATGCGGGGGCTGCGGTGAAGTGTGTCCTCTTTCTGTTGCCTGCGCCATCTCTATCTTTATTGACGGCATGCAACAGGGAATTGTCTTGGGCGGATGCGCAGAGATTGCTCGCGGCGATACATCAGTTCTTTCAGGAGTTACCTCCCCACCTCCGAGCCGCGGAGGCGAAAGCCAGAGTTAAGGTCGTCTCGTGGAACTCGCAGCTGCAGCGGGTTGAGGAAGAACTGTTTCCTGAGCTCACGGAGGCGATTGGCGACTGGCTAACAGGTTTCCTTGAGTGAGTCGATTTATTCGCTGCCTATCTCATATCTCATGGGATTATGTAGCGAGAAGCTAAAGAGTCTGGAAGAATGTAGTCTCTGGGATATATGGTACACCGGCTCTACACCATTCCCATCAGAGGTAATCCCTCCTTTCGTTCACCCATTGCCATAGCTAACAGGACTCCTTTGGCAGTTACTCAACCCCTCCCCGCGGGCATCAATCATCTCAGCCCTTCTCCACCCTCACGAGTACGCGCGATTCCAGGCTGACCCCGAGTCCCTCGAGCTCGAAATCGGGGAAACCCAAGACGCGCCGATGCTCTGGGAGCTCCCCGACACGAGCATCCTGTTCCGACGGTACCTGGAGGGCGGGAAGATGCTCAACGTGTACGACTGGTACGAGGCGTTCGCGCTCGAGCTGGAGACTCAAAGAAAGGAGATGCGAAAGCGGCTGGCGGCTGAAGCCGGTCCTTCCACGCCAAAGAAGAACAAGGGGAAAGGTAAGGCGCGGGAGTTGGACGAGCAGATGGAGATGGACGGGGAGGACGACGATGAGGAGCAGTGGCGGATGCAGATTCAGGCGCGCTTCATCCGGGCGCTGCATGAGCTGGATTACGCGGGGTTCATCAAGCACACTGGAAGGAAGGCGGATCATGTCCTCCGGACGGTGTTCGATGTCTTGGATTGATATGTTACTTATCACTAACTATTGCTGTTGTATGTCTAAGTACCGGAAGAAAGGAAGGGAATATAGATCCACGGATTCAATGGCACGATAAAGCACCAATGTCGCAAGGTTAACGACACAATAATCTGTCGCAAGTCATGTCAAACAGGCAGAGATAGATGAATCCGTGTTATTCGAACCACTATACGATCCGTCTATTAACGAATGTAAGTTAGTTACCCAATGCGTGCACCGTCATCAAAGTCGTGGCATCGTAACCAAATGCAACAGCGGCGTGGAGTTAGCTGCGTGCGTAGCATGCGGGAGACTTGGGTCGGAGAAATAGAGCGGACCACGAGATGATACCCTAACCATACAAGCCAAGATATATCCTAGACCCAAGAAGCGGAAGACAGAAACAGGAAAATGATACAGATGGATGAGATCTAAGGGAGAAAAAATGATATTGATTGAGCCTAGCACAGGATAGACTACCAAATCGCGAGCCCGAAGACGGCGGCGACGACGCCCACGACAGTCGTGAGGCCCGTGGCGGCGATCTGCTGCGACCCGCTGTTGGAGGCCGCGGCGGCCTTCGCGGACGCAGTGGCGGAGCCCGAGGCAGAGGAGGCCTTAGAGCTCGTCGCGGCGGTGGTGTGCGCGGCAGACGCGCCGGTCGTGGCAGCGCTGGCCGCGGTGGGCTGGGCGAGGGGCGCGGTAGAGGCGCCATCGATCTGCGCCTGCACGGTAGAGTTAAAGGTGCCGGTCATGCCTTTCATGCTATAGGGGAGTTTAAGGGTGAGGAAGATTTAGGAGATGGGAAGGCTACGACGTACGTGAACTTCGCGGAGAAGGCAAGAGCCGGGTATTGAGGGTTGGTGGAGTCCTTGAGATTCAGGGACTCGAAGCGGACGAAGCTGAACGGCTATGAGGCATGTGCAGGAGCCCAGGTAAGAAGGAACGTACTAGTCGCTGCCGTCAGGTCCAATGCTGCCGTCGGGGGTAAAGACAATAGACGAAGTCGTGGAGACGTCCACATTGCCAGTAATGGGTTGCAGCATGGTCTATCGAGGAACAAAACGTGTCAGACAGTCTTGCACCCTCCAAGTAGAGCCCGAGGTAGAAAGCGTACCTGCTGAATGGCATTCCCGACGTAGATCGAGACTTTCGAAGCGCCGAACGAGGCGAGGGAAGGCTGGCTGCCATCATCTTGCCAGCTGATGGTGGCCTGCTGGCCAGCAGTCCAGGTAGTCCCGCCCACCGGAGAGGTAGTCTAAACGCACTCCGAACTCAGCACCTTCCTTTCAAGATCTCTCGATTTCACGCACGTAAACCGTAGCCAAAGCCGAGGGGGCCAAAGCAGCCAAAGCAAGAGCGGCGAAGGAAGAAGCGAACATTTTTGTATAGTTTTGTGGTAAAGAAAAGAGTGGTCTGGTAAGAGAGCGACGAGTGTAACGCCGAAGCGACGAAAGGTGGGCTGTTGGCGGAAAGTCGAACGTTGGGAGGGAAGACGAGCGCTGCTTGGCTGTGAGATTTATAGGGGCGGAGTTGAAACGCATGGCTTAGAATAGGACTGGTCAGGCACGCTACGGAACACTGCACGCGTCTGATCAGCCCGAAATGATTCTTTTCTGCCGCGGTACCGCTCGCTGTGGCTGGACGGGCTGGCCGTTGCAGGCAGCGAGACGCTGGACTCGGAGGGATAGACGCCTAGGGGTGAAGCAGACATACATTACAGTCGATACTTCGTAATACAACGTGCGGTATCGCTCCTGAAAATCAGCAAATACCCGTCATCCTGCCGAACGTGCTACACGTAAATGTCGGAAGACGCAAGAACTCCTCCAGGATTCTGAAGACCCCGAAATGTCAAGGCAACGCGTTCCCACTGTAAGTATCGGGCCACAAAAGTGCCCGTTATCTACATGTATCACTGAGCACATTCATCACACTGACAGGTATACGCCAGGCGGCAGCCAGTGCTTCTCGAGTTCGGAAGATGACAAGTCGTCGCAGTCTATAATGGAATTGTTCTTGATAATGAGTGCTGTCCAAACAAAGCAAGCAAGATATCCCAGACGAACGCCATACAGTCCGAATATCCGAATAATGAGATGGAAGAGGCAGGATACAAGTCAAAAGGGAAGCTCTATGTAGGCGTTCTGCGAAATGTCCGTCAGACCGAATAACCAGCAGACACGCCGACTCACATCTATGATCTCATTGTCAATCGTAAACGCGAGCACTTTGCAGAAATGCGCCAAGTCCTGCGCAGCGACCAGGCTGCACGTGGGGCATTTTGCCGCCACACTCAGGAAGCCTTTCCTTATGGACGAGTCCAACGCTGTATCCCCGCACGGACGCTGGAGCAGCTCGGTATCAAGCCGCACCAGATAGTCAACCCACCACTTCCTTGGGCTGCTCACGGTCAGGGAGAGGTTGCCGGAATGCATTGAAGGAACGCTTGGACAGGTGCTGTGCCTACACTTGTACCACACGTACGACGAGCGCGGGAGGAGGTCGAGATTGGCCACGACGGAGCTCGCGAGCTCACCGCACTGCTTATGGTACACGAGGAGGCGGTGGTACTCCAGCCCGGAGATCATCTCGAGCGCCTTAGACGGGTGCTCCAGGATCGGCGTGCGGAGCGAGTAGCGCGCAGCAAACTCAGCGTGCTCGCGGAGCTTCAGATGGCAGGCGATCGCGTATATCCGGACGGGGTCGCTCTCGAGGAACTTTGGCTGCAGGAGCAGCTGCTTCATGCGCCGCGCGATCACGTCGAGGTCGTACTTGAGCGCTGCGCGGAGGATGCCGACGATCTCGTCGAGTGCGCCGATCGGCGGGTCGTCCACCTGCGGGTAGCAGAAGCGGAGGAGCGCGCCGAAGACGCTGCTCTGCTCTTCGACACGCACGATGGGGAGCCCGTCGCGCTGCTCATCGTCGTCGTCCGGCGCGGGCTGCGGCATCTTGAACATGTCCTTGAAGACCGGCGAGGCAAGCTTGAGTATGAGCTTGAACACGCGGAAGTCGACGCCGTCGCAGGTGCGCACGATCACGTCGGCGTCTTCGTCGTCGAAGGGGGTCGGGGCGTCTGTTATCTCGTAGCTTATCATTCCGTCCGGTCTGTAATAGTGGTGATGCGGCATTCCCAGATTCTAAGGCAGCGACCTGTTACATAACGGCTCCGACAGGATGACTGGCCCTGATAGACGCACCCTTCGTGAGTCAGTATTATGTCCCTTGCTCTTCGAAGTCAGGAACTACCAGTCAGTCTTCAGGCCGTCATCTATATTCAATCCGTCATGGCCTAGGGAAGGTTACGAAGGTTCACGAAGAGACAACGTGGGCCGAGTATATATACAAGGCCTGCCCAGTCCTGTATATGGATCGATGAGAGACAGCAAGGGGGACCTATAAGGACCTATGGTACCCTCGTGGCGGCTCCATAAAGTTTAAGTTTGGTGTTCTGCAGATACCGACACAGCGTCAGCCTAAGCACAGGTCGTCAGTGTATTAATAATTGCATGCATCCAACTTACAGCACAGAGGGGAATACTGCAGTCCCATTCTGCCTCGACACTACTGTTCTGCGCGTGACGCGGTGCTTATGCAGGCACAGTGGATAGCGTCGAGTTCATATCACAGTGCATGCCGTCTGAGGTCCGAGCATCAGCTCACCTGACCTATTTATAGCGCTTCTTCCCCTTAACCGACGTCCTCTTTCCACAAAAAACTAGGTGTACTAGTACTGCTTTTGTACTACCTTTACATCGTTCAACATATAGCTGGTTGACCAGGAGGATCCAGGAGTATCTTATAGACTTTCTCCAGCAGAGCTGCCTGATTCTTGCCCACAGTGAGCTGCGAACGGCCGTGGTGACCTTCAGAATGTTCCCGGTAATATCCCATATATGCTTTTTTACTTACCGTTTGTCGTCTGCGGACCGAGCCATCCGGGTTTCCAGATGGATCTTCGTTTGGCCTATCTGTGGCAGTCAGCTGCTCGCTATTTGATGTTGGAGATCATCCGTGCGGGGTAGCCTGTGGGGGTGGGGGCGATATAAAGCTGGACGCTCTTGAATCCAAGTGACCCGCTGGCTGTCCTATCGCCAGTTTTTCCCTGCAGTGACCTGCTTAGATCCGTTATGATCGACGAAGTGAAGCAGACACCCGTGCAGGAGCAGAAGCTGGACCTCGAGGAGGGCACTGCCGAGCAGTTCAACAATGACGGCACGTTCTATCAGAGCCAGCTGGGCCAGAGGGCGAAACGGAAACATTTCTTTTCGCCGTTGGACCCAACCCTTGCTGAGGCGGTTCATAAGGATGCGGAAACTGTCAACTTCACTGCTGAGGAAGAGGTAAAGTTTGGATTGACTTTCAGACGGTTTGGATGAAAGCCGATTGTGCATCCTTAGAGAGCAGTGAGACGGAAGATTGACCATGTGGTCCTGCCGTTGGTAGTCTGTAGGTGCGTAGTGTAAAGTCTGATACCGTAAGGATAACACTGACAAGCCTTTGCTGATCAGTTACATCTGTACGCGACATTTCTCAGTCAATCTGGAACGCGACTTACCATAAGTTCATGCCCGCTCGACAGTCAACCAATTTGGTAAGCAAATGTCATTATAAAGTCGAGACCTTAGCACCTCGCATTTACGGTGAAATATCTTACAGATAGGACAAATATGTCAGTCATCACGTATATACCACCCATCATCAGCCTGACTCGCCTATTACAGCGGCAACGCTCACGTTATCAACGCTTTCAATGAGAATTATGTGGGTTTTTTGACTGCGTTCTCAGACGATTGAGGTTGACATGCGGTTCCAGGGTATAACGAATAACAACAAGTGGACAGTCGCTCTGAGTATATTCTATGTCGGCTACTGTGAGTGCCGTCCTTTAATCACGCGTTTCGCAGATAATGACCATTGCTATCCAGGTCTTCTCGAGATGCCGGCCAATGGTAAGGCTTTGTCGAATGGTTGAGCTTATCAGCCTTACCTCGCTCTCTAGTCCTCCAACGCCATATCGGCGCGAACCGCTTGTGGGTTGTAGATTGTCCTGCCCTTACGTTCTGGACATTCATACGCCCATCTCGCCAGCTTCTTCCTGTCACTAACATTCTGGGGCCTCTCGTCCCTCTCCGTCGTGTACGCGAAAGGCTACGCCGCTCTCTTGGTTCTGAGGTAATTTCGCCCAAAATCAACAAGTGTTGACGCGACCGCTGACCACGCGGATAGAGTGCTCATGGGCATCGGCGAAGCCGGGTACTACGCAGGGATGATTTACTACTTGTCGTTCTGGTTGGTGGCGCTTCAATCTTATGTGAGAGAGGATCTGACCTACCAATCAACTTAACAGGTACAAACGGTATGACGCAGGTTATGGATCGGGCGATGGACATTGCTCACAATCTGGCCCGGAAGGTCTGAGCTTGCCCTGAGAATCAGTTTATGTATGACAGGTACCCTGCCGGGGGCGATTGGAGTGAGACCACGCAATTGTGACGAGAAATGTGTGTTGATCCTTTCTTCACTAAGGGTCTCCTGGCCTTTGGCCTGGTCCGCTTGCACACTTCCGTTCTTACTGGGTAAGCCTCCGGTCCTCCTCACAAATACCCAAGCTCACCCACCAGCCCAGATGGCAATTCCTCTTCCTTGTGCGTCCGCTAAGACCCTGAGTTACTCGGCTCCCTATGAATAATACTCAATCTGCAACAGATCGAGGCCATCCCCACCATCATAATGGGGTTCATGATCCTCCTCTTCCTTCCGTCGTTCCCATTCTCGTCGTCCTTCCTCACCCAGCGCGAGAAGGCGATTGCACAGGCCCGTCTCAACCGAGACCACAAGCCGCAGTCGCACGGCGGTATGACGGGTTTGCAGGGGCTCAAGGCCGTGCTAGCCGATCTCAATGCTTGGCTGTTCATGCTCATCTACGCCAGCTGTGAGCGTCACGGCTGTCGTTGATCTAAGTGACTATTGCTAATGCGCCGCTTGGTCAGTTAACGTAGGAGTTGCCACCATCTCGTACTTCCTGCCCACCGTACGTCTGCGCATGGCGTGACCCCTTCTGCTGGTACTGACGGTCCATCAGCTCATCAAAGATCTCGGGTTCTCCTCGATCAACGCGCAAGGCATGACCGTCGCGCCGTACGTCGTCGGCTGGTTCATGGTCTTCCTACAGGCGTGGCACAGCGACCGCACGCGCGACCGCGGCTGGCACATCATGGCGTCGACCCTCACGTCCTTCGTCGGGTACGTCATCCTCGCGACGTCCGTGCAGAAGAGCGTCGGCGCGGCGTACTTTGCGCTGTTCCTTGTGGTGGGCGGGAATTACAGCTTGTTCCCGCTGGTGATGTAAGTTCACATTGCTTCTCGGCTGGGAGAATATGGGGTGTTGATTTCGTTCGGGATGTAGGAGCTGGGCTGCGAATAACTTTGCGCCTACTTCGAAGCGCGGTGTAGGCACTGCGTTTATTGTGTCTATATCCAACTGCGTCTCCATGTGCGTCTTGCCTTTAGTACCGCATTATTTAGAACGGATTGATCATTATTTGTTTGCGTTTCAGCGCTTCTCCCCAGATATATTTCGACTCAGAGGATAATTACCGGAAGGGCCATGCGATATCTGCGGGGTGAGTAGAGAACACTCTATTTCTGCTATAATAAATGCTAACTCTCCGACGGAAGGTGTCTTTTCCTGTCGTTCCTGGCCGCGTTCTTCCTCCGCATGCGGCTGTCCATGAAGAACAAGAAAAACAAAAAGATACTGGAGGCAAGATCTGAGGAGGAGAAGGCAGAGGTGGAGGCTAGCACACCAGAGATTGCTGATAATGATCCGAGATACGTGTATATGACTTAAATCTGCCTCGTGACAGTTTCTCTTTTCATGCCATCTAGTATCTCCCAAGGGGGAGGGAGGAGCAGCGTGTGCGCAACATACTCCTTGACTAGGCTAGTGCATATTTCCGATACAGCATAGGGAAGTCCCCCCTTAGCCCGCTTTTGGAAGTGAACCCTACCCAAACGAGTAGCTGGGGCGCCGCAGCAGTGGTAAACCACGTGCGTGGACCTTGCCGAATATACGGCAAGGAACTTCGTGCTGTTGACTCCCCGTTGTGCTCGCAGTACTATAACGTAGTAGTTGTAATTTATCCTGTGAATAATGTACCAGGAGGAGCTACTGAGCTTTGGGACTCCCCACTGACAGTAGGAGACGCTACAGTTCTCTCAGCGTGATTTTTGATCCCAGTAAGGCTTCTACTGGGCCACATTTAGTGCCTCGACCCCCCCACTTTAAAGAAATTGTGTAAATGAGGTTCTATGCGCTCTTGTGCATTCAGCGCGTACGTTATAGGCAGTATAACCCTCGGTGTAGGGTAGAGGAAGCGTTGAAGAGGTCGAGACTATATACGTGCCGAGGTCCGGCAGATGCCAACCATGTGCACCTGCCGTTTTGGGCGGAGAATCCTGCCTTTTTGAGCACGCGCGAGAGCCTGGGGGGGACTTCTGCGACGCTGATACTAAACGGGTACAAGCCTCCATTAAAGACAGTTGCTCGTCTACTAAGTCTTTTTTAAGAGGCGCAGGATCAAGCCTA